CAGAAATGGCTTTACTGGGGGGGGGGGGCAAATTCTTTCCCTGGAATTGCCCCCCCCCCCAGATATATAGTTAAAAAAGGCACTGCATATGGACACTTAGAATAAAAAACATTACCAAAATATAACGATCCGATTTGTCATACCTGGCTGTTGCAATAGTCCTTATATTATAAATCAATATCACGTGATGCTATATATTTGTCTTCGTATGTTTCTCCATCGGACAAACTATTCTCCGAGGAAAACATGTTTCCCCATCGGATCAATCGGTAGCACATGTATGATGGAATTCTCCTTCGGACTCCAATCGCGGATATTGGACATCAATCTCAAAGCGTGCAGAAACTGTGGGGCATTTTATTTGGCATAAATTGACTACCTATATAAAAATAGGTACGCGAAGCGTACATGCATCTGCTCATGGTGATTGCACTGTTGCCAAGGAGTTTAATCAATACTCAGTGGTAGTGTTGTTTTAGTCAGCTAGAACTAAAACTAAAACCCTATTTTAGTCCTGCCAAAATAATTTAGTCAACTAAAACTAACTAGAACTAAATAAATTAAAGAGATAAATACTACAACTAAACCAGAACTAAAGCGATTGTAAGAGATAAATGCTAGAACTATACTAGAACCAAAGCAAAATCAGCAGCAATTACTAGAACTAAACTTGAACTAAAAGCAAAATTACCATGAACAACTGAAACTAAACGACAGAATTTAATTAGTCAACAGATTGTATGTTTAATTGTTTATGATCTATTGTTTTGAAATATAAAATTTGGTCTTCGAGGGGACTTTGTACACGATCGTGAACTGTCGCGAACTGATCGTAAACTGTCGATTCCGCCTTCCGCCTATGATTTTATACTTCCTGTTCCTGGAAAACCGAAATAATTTTTCGAAACCTCGACCCTGGTTTACAATGGGTTTATATTTATAAATAACGTTGTCTTAGTTTGTATAGTCCTGCCAGGTTGTGCATTATTCACTTCAATCACTTGAACAGGTAAATAAAGAATTTTGAATTCGAAATAATTGCTGATTTTGAATTAATATTTGGTCTTTCCTGGCCTAGTAGTGGCCTTTACACAAACATGTTCGTACATAATTATATGAACAACTGAAAACTAAAACTAAATCGTTTGCTTAGCTAGGACTAAACCAGAACTAAAATGAAATTCCTGTTTCGAACTCGAACTACACTAAAACTAAAATAATATTATATTTCTGTTTCAAACTAGAACTAAACTAAAACTAAAAAAAATACTTGTTCAAACTAGAACTAAACTAAAACTAAACATAAATTACTGTATTAAACTAAAACTGAACTAAAACTAAATTGAAAACACCATACTAAAACAACATGCACTATATTCAGTAGCTTGTAAAAATATTAAGAAACTGATGTATATAAATCAATATACAGTCGAACCTCTATTAAGCGGCCCTCCATTGAGCGGTCACCCTCTATTAAACGGCCACATATCGAAGTCTCGAAATTTTTGTAATACAAATACTATAAACTATCCCTCTATTAAACGGACACCTCTATTAAGCGACCGCGGCCACCCAAAGAGCGGTCCAAAATGATGTTTTATATCAATTTTTACCTCTATTTAGCGGCCGGCCTGCAGGATTTACTCGGCGCAACACCTTGTCAAGAGAGCCGCAAATAAAAGTCAAGTTAATTTGCTTTATTTGTAAAATGATGCTTAAAAATTATGTTCTAACGCATGCCACTTTTCACCTCAAAAACGTTAGTCCAGTCAATCTGTGACCAGAGGTCGGAGAAATTGCAATACAATTTTTCTCGGTGATAAAATGTGAGGAAAGGTGTCCTGATTAACATACTAAAAATCCCAAAAAATCCCTTCGGTGGAACATGGTGAAAATCAAGTTTTTCTTACTTCTACCTATAGAAAACCAGTTGTGGACAGAATGTTCAAATTTTGAAATCATTTTAGGCAAATGTAACCTACATTATTGGAAAGCTTAAACAAAACTATATAAAGGTCAATTAAACCGTTATATTCAATTTACTGGTCAGTTTGTCGTTATTCTAGCTCAAAGTTGGAAAAATAGCGCAAAATTTGCACAAAATATAAATTTATGGCATTTTAAATCTTGTATAACTTCGGCTCGATAGGCAAAAGCAAGGTAACCGTTTAATGATCTATATTTTAGTTTTTTCTAAGCTTTCCAATGATGCATGTTATATTTGCAAAAAAATAATTTCAAAATTTCAACATTTTGTCCGCAATGGTTTTCTATAGGCAGAATTAAGAAAAACTTGATTTTCACCATGTTCCACCGAAGGGATTTTTTTGGATTTTTAATATGTTAATCAGAACAACTTTTCACACACTTTACCACTGAAAAAAAATCTATTGCGATTATACTTTGATCAGGACCATGTACTTATAGTGATTTGACTGGACTACATTGTCGGTATAGTAAAAGTGTCAGTGTTTGGCGCCCTGATATTTCTAAAGTCTACCAACTATTGTACTCTGTGATTTATAATTAAAATAGACAACCTCTATTTAGCGGCCACCTCTATTAAGCGGCCACAAACCGATCCCCGAGGGTGGCCGCTTAATAGAGGTTCGACTGTATTTTTCTATAAAATCACAAATATGTATAATACACAGTTGACTACTTAAATGAGGTTAGATTTATAGTATGTCAGATGAAAAAATATAATGCCTGATATATATTCAACTTGCAGAATCTAATTCAGCCTATAACTTAACAGGGATGATATTCAGTTTTATGATGTTCTTGTTGAAACATGTCAGGTTCAAAATATTCTTGGTAGTTCATTTGACACTTCAGGCATGCGAGAACATTGTAGATGCATAGATGTTGTCAGGATAGCAGATTTTGCCAATACACACTTCTACAGTTTTGAAAGCCTTTTTATACCATAACTGATACATGACATCAATATTTCTGCTGTGTATAATTGATCTATTTCATTTTAGAAATATGGTAGTCGGAGTTGATGGAGTACAAATCAAATAGGTCGTATATTGAAGGTCATTCATCAGTAACACATGATGACAAGTAAAAAGCAAGTGGAAATTAGGAGTATAATCAATGCATATAGTTCTTGAAAAGAGTGATATAATTAAGCATACCAGATTCATGCAATAATATTGTGTCGTGGAAGAAAATCCAATAAACAGAGTAGTAGGTTTAGTTTTGTACAGCGTGTGCTATTAATAAGATATCATTATAACGTATG